AGGCAGGACTAGAACTCACTGGTCCATGAGTGATTGGCCAAAGGTCAACCCAGGGGCTTCCATGCCTAAGCAGACTAGAACTCACCATCTATGGTGACTGGGCTGAAGTCACCCAGCTGGCTTTCATGCCAAAAAAAGCCCGGACTAGAACTCACGTTTCTTGATGGAACTACAAGAATGGTTTATCATCCCTCTACTGTGCCATCTGAAAGGATACCTTTGCTGTCGTAATTTCCAGTTTTCAAGCCAAAAGCACGCTCAATAGCAAAAGCACGGGTTCTCTTAATCACAGGGATTCATTTACGACCGTTGCGAAAAAAAAAGATTCGGAGATCAGCCACCTGACAACCCACTTTACAAGTATCAGTTGCAGGGAATTGGGCTTGTCTAGTTCAGGGGTGTCAAACGCCAGCATGCGAACCCGCTCCACACCATTGCCGGAAATGGCGAAAAAAAAGTCGCGACACATCATGGACGTTGCAGTTTGACACCACTGGTCTAGTTTAGAAGAGGAGTCCAGCTCTTCTCCAAGCGGCCAGAGGCAGGCAAGAAGCAACGGGATGGAAACTAACCAAAGACAGAAGCAACCTGGAGCTAAGGAGGATTTCTTAAAAGGGGACAATAGCCAGTGGAACAGCTTGCCTCCAGAAGTTGTGGATGCTCACTGCGAGGTTTAAGAAAAGACTGGAACAGCCATTTGTCTGAAATGGTATAGGGCAGTGGGGTGAACTAAAGCACGTGTGCCAAGAGGCGGCACTCAGAGCCCTCTCTGTGGGCACGCACATCGTCGCCCCAGCCCCACCTCCCCCCCGCAACCCCCTCCTGACCAGCAGCCACCCCCAGAGGAGAGTCACCCCTGAGCGTGGCCCGTGCGGAGCAGCGCAGCCAAGGACATGGCAGCCAGGAAGCGGGGACAAGACTACGCCTTCACGCCCCATCGCACGCAGTTGATGCTTTGGGGTGCAGGTGGAGGGCGTGGCTGCCATGGTGTCGCTGGGTGATGGTGCGTTGGGCCGTGAAGGCGGTGAGTGGCCTTGCAGGTGGAGAGGGCGGGGGCGTGCTGGGGCGGAGCGGGGAAGGGGAGGGATGGGCGGGACGGAGGTGGTTTTTGGGTTCGCCATCACTGGTGTAGGGTCACCTGCTTGAACGGGATTGGACTAGAACAGTGGTTCTCAACCTTTTTAATGCCGCGACCCCCCCCAACCGGTCGTAAGTCGAGGACTACTCAACCGGTCGTAAGTCGAGGACTACTCAACTGGTGCAGCACCGTTTGCAGAATGGGACTTTTGGCGGGCTCAGCAGGGCAGAGACAGCCTGGACAATTCCTATTGGCTTTTGAAAGCCAATAGAATTAGACTCTATTCAAGAGAGTCTATTCTATTGGCTTTCAAAAGCCAATAGAATAAAAGGGAGTAGCACAGCTAAGGAAAAGGGGGGGGGGGGAAATGGCAGACTGCGTTGTTTGGCGACCCCCGTGAAATGGTCGTTCGACCCCCAAATGGGGTCCCGACCCACAGGTTGAGAACCACTGGACTAGAAGACCTCCAAGGTCCCCTTACAACGCTGTGATTCGATTGTTTGTTGTTTGAGTTATGACCATGATGGGTAGACTTCCTGTTCTGTGTTTTAGACTCTGTTGGGGTAAAGTTTATGTACTTCTGTTGATTCCCTCCCCCCTTTCTGCTAATTCTCTAACCTTTTGTTTTGTCCATACCTGGATGGAGTACTTTTGGCATCCTGCAACAAGGTAGCTGGCATTTAGCAAATGCTATCGCTTGGAGAGAACTTGTCAAAAACTTTAAATTAGCGAGTGTAGCTCCTCTGATTTTTCTGTTCAATTAAGAGAGCAGCGCCGTTACACACACTTGTTTTGGAGTGAGCCCCAATGAACGCAGCTGATTTTTTTGTCTCGCGTAAATATGCTTCGGACAAAAAAGGTTGCCTTTGAAAACTTCAGGAGCCTTATTAAATGGGGAAAAATAAACTTTGCTTGCCACTTAATGAAATTGTTCTCGAGACTGTGGCCCCGCATTCTGTCACTGAGAGGCACTTTGAATGTCACAAATTATGCTTTGTTGTGCTGTTTCTTTTGGAAAGTTCACCTTTGCAGAAAGGAAGTAAGGAAATTGACTAAAAAAAACCCAACAAACCTATACAGATGCTGAAGTAGTATTTACATTAAATTGAAAGTTGTTCCCACTGAATTGAGTTGTAACTAGTTATATATGCCACGGGGCAGTTCCATAATTCCATGATTAGGGGACTGGAGGCTAAAACATATAAGGAACGGTTGCGAGAATTGGGTATGTCTAGTTTAACGAAGAGAAGGACAAGGGGGGACATGATAGCAGTGTTCCAATATCTCAGGGGCTGCCATAAAGAAGAGGGAATTAAGCTATTTTTCCAAAGCACCTGAAGGCAGGACAAGAAGCAACGGGTGGAAACTAATCAAGGAGAGAAGCAACCTAGAACTAAGGAGAAACTTCCTGACAGTGAGAACAATTAATCAGTGGAAAAACCTGCCTCCAGAAGCAGTAAATGCTCCAACACTGGAAGTTTTTAAGAAGAGACTGAACAGCCATTTGTCCGAAATGGTGTAGGGTTTCCTGCCCGAGCACGGGGTTGGACTAGATGACCTCCAAGGTCCCTTCCAACTTTACTACTATTATTATTATTATAATAGAAATATAGGATGCATTATTGGCTTTTCCTTCTGGCAGTGTGATCCGTGTTGACTGCACCTTCTCCTATCTGAGGACTTGAAGGTGCTCCACAAGGTTCACCAAGGACTTGCTTTCAGTTGCCTCTAGTCCAGTGGTTCTCCACCTGTGGGTCGGGACCCCATTTGGGGTCGAACGACCATTTCACGGGGGTCGCCAAACAACGCAGTCTGCCATTTCCCCCCCCTTTTCCTTAGCTGTGCTACTCCCTTTTATTCTATTGGCTTTTGAAAGCCAATAGAATAGACTCTCTTGAATAGAGTCTAATTCTATTGGCTTTCAGAAGCCAATCGGAATTGTCCAGGCTGTCTCTGCCCTGCTGAGCCCGCCAAAAGCCCCATTCGGCAAACGGTGCTGCACCAGTTGAGTAGTTCTCGACTTACGACCGGTTGGGGGGGGGTCGCGGCATTAAAAAGGTTGAGAACCACTGCTCTAGTCACTTTGCTTCCTGCTACTGATACAGGCAATTCTTACGGTCCGTCAGGCCCTACGTGTTGATTCTCCAAAGTGTTTGTCTTTGTTCTGTTAGATAATTTCCTCTGCAGCCTTTTCAAGCATGCTTGCTTTTTTTTTTTTTAATGCATCCTTTTCATGTCTCTTTTAAATAAGTATACTCAGTGAAATGGAAAAACAAAACAAAACCCCAAAACCCAAGTGAAACAATGTGTTGTGTATTTTGGTTAAACCACTAAGTGATGTTTTTTTTCCTTTACCTCGTGCATCTTCTAGCTTATTTCCCCCCCCCTTCCTCCTCAATCATTTGAAATGGCTTCGGTGGGATTTTAGAATATATTATAAAATATGTATTTTGAGGTTAAGTACTGCCAGAAGCTTTAGGTAATTTCTTGGGGGACTTGTTCTTAAAAATAGCATTTCGATTATCTTCTTGAAATAAGATTTCTGCTTCCTGAAGTGCGGGTGTGCAGAGGATGAGAAAAATGCTCACCCGGGCTTCCAAATGTCACCTTTCCTCTAGAGATGCCATTTTTTTTGTAGTCCTGAGTGGCAATTGTAGAAAAATGCACCATTTCAAAGAGAGTTCTCTTTCATGGGTGACAGGCAAAGCAAAGGAACCCAATCCGTGACTCCACAGAAAACCCAATGGGAGGCCTGGGATTTCAAATCTTTCATACATAAAAATGGATGGTCATAAAGATATTTTAAATAAACAAGTAAGTATCACAGAAGAGAATATGTAATGTCATTAGGGGTAGAAGGGAGTGCTAGAAGCAAAACCCACTCCCTTCCAGCACTGATGCTGTTACCTAATTGGGTCATGAAATGTCTGCAAAACCCACTCCCTTCCAGCACTGATGCTGTTACCTAATTGGGTCATGAAATGTCTGCAAGCAAACAGCCAAGCTCAGAGAGCACCAGGGACCCCACAATTCTCTTCGTCCTCCTCCTCACTCCCTTCTAGCACTGATGATATTACCTAGTTGGGTCATGAAACGTCTGCAAGAAAACAACCCAGCTCAGAGACCACCAAGGACCCCACAGTCTTTTTCCTCCTCCTCCCCCTCCTCTCCACAAACCCCACTTCCCTTCCAGCACTGATGATGTTACCTAATTGGGTCATGAAACGTCTGCAAGCAAACAGCCAAACTCAGAGAGCACCAGGGACCCCATAGTCGTCGTCGTCCTCCTCCTCCTCCTCTTCTCTGCAAACCCTCTCCCTTCTAGCACTGATAATGTTAGCTAGTTAGTGATGAAATGTCCTCAAGAAAACAAGCTCAGAGATCACCAGAAATCCCACAGTCCTTTTCCTCCTCCTCCTCCTCCTCCTCCTCCTCCTCCTCCTCCTCCTCCTCCTCCTCCTCCTCCTCCTCCTCCTCCCTGCAACCCCCCTCCCTTCTAGCACTGATGATGTTACCTACTTGAGTCATAAAACCACCAAGCTCAGAGAGCACCACGGTCCCCACAAACAAATAAATACCTTCCAAAAGATATCAGATTCTGATAGATGATGCTGAATCGGGTGGAAATTAAACTCTCAAAGACAAAGGGAATGTTCGGCTGAATAATTATGTCTCTGCTGGGAACTTTAAATAGATCTCTGCTGCTTTGTAGCTCAAGGATTTTTTTTTATTTTATCACCAATTCTCCATTCTCTGTGTGGAGTTAAAATATTAATTTGCTGCACGACTCAAGTAGCCTTTCCGTCTTCATCCCCTGTTTTTTAATCTAATAATTAAAGAAACCCACAGAAAACCCATTCCGGCGATCCATGCTGCCTGTTTGAAGGCTTCTTCCCTGCAGTTGGTTCTCTTGTACTTACAGATGACGGATGACACAGCAAGAGTTTACTCAGGCGGTTCTCGACGTACGACCAAAATTGAGCCTCCCATTTCCGTTGCTAAGCAAAACAGTTAAGTGACTTTTGCCCCATTTTGCGATTTTACCCAGTTAAGTGAACCACTGTAGTTGTTAAGTTATTCACACAGTTGTTAAGTAAATCTGGCTTTCCCCATTGATTTTGGGGTTAGGGGTAGGGTTAGGATTAGGGCAGGGGTAGGCAACCTTGGCTCTTTTATGACTCGTGGACTTCAACTCCCAGAATTCCTGGCTCAGGAATTCTGGGAGTTGAAGTCCACGAGTCATAAAAGAGCCAAGGTTGCCTACCCCTGGGTTAGGGGATCACGTGACCCCAAGCCACTGCAACCATTGTAAATATGAGTCAGTTGCTAAGCATCTGAGAACATTCAGGAATGTGAAAAATGTATTAATAAAATAAATACTGAAAAGAAAGATGTTGGTCTAGAAACTTGGGGGTTGAGTGATAATTCTGTGGTGTGGAAGATGACTGGGTATATTTGAAGGTGTGGAAGCTGACTGGGTATATTTGAAGCCTGTTGTGCTCTCTCAGCCCTATCCAATTCAAAAAGTTATTATTCTGGAGAAAAGAAGAGGATGGAGTATTATATATACTGCTTTGAGTTGTAGAAAATAAAGGTCGAATAGAAATCCAGAAGAAGAAGAAGAGGAGGAGAAGAAGAAGAAGAGGAGGAGGAAGAAGAAGAAGAAGAGGAGGAGGGGGAGGGGGAAGGAGGAAGAGGAAGAGGAAGGAGGAGGAAAAGGAGGAGGAGGAGAAGGAGAAGAAGAAGAAGAGGAGAAGAGGAGGAGGAGAAGAGGAGGAGGAAGAGGAGGAGGGGGAGGAGGAGGAATAGGAAGAGGAGAAGGAGAAGAAGAAGAAGAGGAGGAGAAGGAGGAGGAGGAGAAAAAGATTGCACAAGAAGGTTCCATAAGATCTGAGGAACTGACACAGTAATGAGCTAAGCAATTGCAACATTATTATTATTTTTTTTTGCAAGCTCTCTGCTCTGCAAATGACTGGGAAAGCTACCTTACCATTTTGCCATTTCTCTCCTCCCCCAAATAACAGTAAAATGCTTCTGAAATATTGATAGTTACTTACTTGGTTCGATTCAGCTTTTAGCGGAAAAAATGCTCTTTATTTGGCATGCAAAAGGCAGAATAAAGTCCGGTGGTCGCTATAGAATTGAGAGCGGCCCCTGCAATTTTGTTCTGACCGTGCATTTAAATTGTGGCTTAACTGTCATTAGCGCACCACATTGCCTGCCGATTACTGAAATAAACCAAGGCAAGAAGCAGGAATACATAAGAGCAGGTCTATGAAATTGAAAGCGGCCGGGTTACAAATTGTTACATTGGAGACAAGGACCCAGAATTTCCCTAAATGTATCATTAGCGGTGGAAAAGGAAAGCAGGGTGGGGTGGCTGGGTTGAACTTTCTCTTAGGCGTCCTCATAATTTTTATTAGTCGTTATTTTATTGACATAGATTTTTAAAACTCCCGACTCTCAATGATTCTGGGTGCTTTTCATTGGGGGTCCCTAACACCTGGGCCATGGACTGGTCCGTGGCTGTAATGACCCAGGGCACAGCACCGAGGCAATGCAGTCAGCTGGCAATTCAAGCCGCCCTTTAATTGCTCCAAATTTTCCCCAAAGGCTCCCACGTTTCTGGACAGCCTCCAAACAAAGGAAGACACACACACACACCTTCAGCTGCCTCTGGCTGCAAGTAGTTTCACATACAGTCTGATTAGGGGAGGAATTTACTCAAGGCCACGGAGATAAGAAAGAATGACACATACATCATAAACCTAAGGAGTCTGTGTGAATACACGCTTGCCTGAACAGTTTCAGAAGCGAAGCTAAAATACAGTCTGAGAGCTTTGAACATCCAAGCAACGTTGTCAGCCAGTCCAATGGTCCGAGTTTCCGGGTTTCCTAGCAGAAGTCACAGAACAAGAGATCAGCAACAACACACACACAAAACTCCAAGGAATCAGCGTTTGTTCCCGACAAATGTCTCTCCCTACAGCGTCTTCTTAAATCTCAGTCTCCAGGAGTGCCTTGTGGAGAAGGGTGGTATATGAATGCAATAGCTGTAAGTTGTGAATAGCAATTGATGGTTTAATGCAATATGTAAGCCCTTCCATTTGTAGATTAATTCATAAATCATGTTTAAACGAGCCCTGGTTAACATGATATGGGGACTTCATCTTTTCCTTTTACACCAAGCTATGAAATAGCTGGTATATATGATGGAGTTCATTGTGTACTCTGGAAAAGCAGCATTCAGAAAATAAATATTCATGCTTGTAACCTGAAGATATCAATTCCCATTCTGTTTGCATTTTAAGAGTAGTAGCTTGAAGAGAGCAGAGAGTCATCCCGTTTTCTGACTGATTGCCTAATGTTACAGACAAACCCAGTAATGATTGGATCTGCTACACCACACCACACAACAGAGCCGGGTAGAGTTTCTGTGGATTTTTCCCAGCAAATTCCTAATTCAGCTTTATTTCTCTCCGTTATTATGAATCAGGCCGTCAATTGATCAGAGGTTTTTGTCTCTTGCTTTAACCCATTCATCAAAGTGAAAGCAATATTCAGAAGGCAGTGTAAATGGATCCTTTCCTGTTAAGGCAGCCAACAAGTAATTCTCAGTAAAATTCTTTTAGATGCTTTGCCTGCATCAATAGAGAGATGTAGGAGAATGGCGGAGGCCAACTACCATTCAACTACCAAGCAAAATAAAAATCATCCTCCTCCTCCTCCTCCTCCTCCTCCTCCTCCTCCTCCTCCTCCTCCTCCTCCTCCTCCTCCTCCTCCTCCTCCTCCTCTCTTCAAACCCCACTCCCTTCTAGTACTGATGATGTTACCTAGATAGGTGATGAAATGTCTGCAAGAAAACCACCAAGCTCAGAGAGCACTAAGGTTCCCACAGTTCCTCCTCCTTCTCCTCCTCCTCCCCTCTGCAAACCCCACTCCCTTCTAACACTGATGATGTTATCTAGTTGGGTAATGAAACATCTGCAAAAAGCTCAGAAAGCACCAAGGACCCCTCAATTAAGCCTCAGTTTCTTAATCTGAGCAAAAACGTCATAACTGCGGGGTCCTTGGTACTTTCTGAGCTTGATTGTTACAACTTGGTGAAAACAACCAAGCTCAGACCCCACAGTTCAACCCAGAGAGACAAATATCCTCTGTTATTGATGTCTTAAACTGTTGGCTCGCATGGATGAGCGTCCAAATCTTGGTGCTCTGTAGTGCTTGGGCATTGACTTTAATTATACACCCACCTGTCACGTTGAAAGCCTCCTTGAAGCTCTGCTTGGATGATTGAGGGTGACTTTTGAATTCAGACATTAAGAGCAGGGAGTCGCCAAACTTGGCATCCTTTAGATGGGTGGACTTCAACTCCCAGAATTCCTCAGCCAGCAGCGGGTGTTGAAATGCACACGTCTGAAGGTTGCCAAGTCTGGAGACTCCCTGCATTAGAGGATTCACAAATATATCTCCCCCCCCCCCGAAATATCATTTCTAATGGGTATCATTATGGGATACTTGCGCTGGCCAATATTGGACTGGTCAGTAAGTCTACGCTGCATTTTGCTCTGCTTTGGAAGAAGGGCTAATCTGCTTCTGCTCTCTCTTGGAGAACGTTTTAGTATGGATAAGACAGATGTCCACGCTGCTAGCATCGGATGTTCTCGCTTTGACAATATATGAAGATGCAGCCATTTTCTCTTCAACCTGTGTGTTACTTTTAGAGTTAGAATTGGATGATGATGGGGGAGGGAGGGGGAAGAATGTGCATGGGGATTAGTTAGACATAACAACATTGGCAGTAGAGTATTCTTCAAGGTTGTTTGAAATAAGAGGCGATAAGGAATGGCGCCCCTTTATGGATTACTGCCTTGTCGTGGTGAAGGGGCTTGCGTAACTCAATGAAGCTATAAGCTATGCCGTGTGCAGGGCCACCCAAGACGGACAGGTCATAGCAGAGAGTTCTGACAAAATGTGATCCACTGGAGAAGGAAATGGCAAACCACTCCAGTATCTTTGCCATGAAAACCCCATGGACAGTACTAAAAGGAAAAAAGATATGACGCTGGAAGATGAGCCCCTCAGGTCGGAAGGTGTCCAATATGCTACTGGGGAAGAGCAGAGGGCTAGTACTAGTAGCGCCAGAAAGAATGAAGCGACTGGGCCAAAGCCGAAAGGACGCTCAGCTGTGGATATATCTGGTGGTGAAAGGAAAGTCCGATGCTGTAAAGATTTTTTCTCCATAGGAACCTGGAATGTAAGATCCATGAATCAAGGCAAGCTAGACGTAGTCAAAAAAGAGATGACAAGAATGAACATCGACATCTTAGGAATCAGCGAACTAAAATGGACAGGAATGGGTGAATTTAACTCAGATGACCATCAGGTATACTACTGTGGGCAAGAATCCCTCAGAAGAAATGGAGTAGCCTTCATAGTCAATAAAAGAATAGGAAAAGCAATACTGGGATACAATCCCCAAAATGACAGAATGATCTCAATTCGAATCCAAGGCAAACCATTCAATATCACAGTAGTCCAAATCTATGCCCCAACCACTGGTGCTGAAGAGGATGAAATTGACCGGTTCTATGAAGCCCTACAGCACCTTATAGAATTAACACCAAAAAATGATGTCCTTATCATCATGGGGGACTGGAATGCTAAGGTAGGAAGCCAAAAGATAACCGGAATAACAGGCAAGTTTGGCCTTGGAGAACAAAATGAAGCAGGGCACAGGCTAATAGAATTTTGTCAAGAGAATACGATGGTCATAACAAACACTCTTTTCCAACAACCCAAGAGACGGCTCTACACATGGACATCACCAGACGGTCAACATAGAAATCAGATTGACTATGTACTCTGCAGCCAAAGATGGAGAAGCTCTATACAGTCAGTAAAAACAAGACCAGGAGCTGACTGTGGCTCAGATCATGAGCTTCTCGTTGCAAAATTTAGGCTTAAATTGAAAAAAGTAGGGAAAAGCACTAGGCCACTCAGGTATGAA